ACTGGGCCTGACAGCTGTGCCTGCGTCCTGGGAGCCAGTGGTCAGTCTCCTGGATTTGCACCCTGCCGGGGATGACCTCGGCGACCTAGAATTCTGTGCTTCCCTCTCCAGCCCCATCTATTTTTCATTTCCCTGCCTGGCAACAGCCTGACCTGATTGCACAAGGTCATAATTTACCAGAAACAAATGAATGTGCCTATCTGGTTGTGAGTCATATGTGGGAAACGTAACTGCTTATTTAGCTTTTATGATAATTCGATCATGGTGTGCAGGGAGGGACACGTATTCTTCATAGTCCCCCCAGTTAACCCACTGGAGGCATCTCACCTCTGCTTAGGGTGCTTCTGCAGTGCCTTGCAGCTGTGGAGGAAACACACTCTGAGCCAGCACTGGGCAGGAAGGCTGGCAGGCACTGAAGCCTGACCCCGAGGTTATCACGGTCCTGGTCCCTGAGTTCTCTGGGTCTGAAGTCTTGAGGTTCAGACCTTCGAGAGAGGATTAGACCCTGAGAACACTGGAAACCAAACCTGGCTCATACCAAGGAGCTGATTGTCATGCACCGTGATGTCCCCTGTCCACAAATGAAAGCAAATTGGTACCAGAAGCTTCCTTACTGAATTAGAATGAAAATAAAGACATGTGGAAATCCTTAGACATTTGGTTGGCTTGTTTTTGTTTTGATTTTGTTTTGTTTAGGCAGATTTGAAGCTGAGAAAATGGTCTCTGTGTGATCAGTGTTACCAGTTTCAAGGTAGTTCTGGAAAATGCATGATAAACCAGAGCTCTGTAGCTTCCCATGAACAGTGAGCCCTCCTCCAGGCTGCCCCTCGCCGCCTCCTGATGGAATAACTTGGACTTCAGTGTATAAAATGGCCTTCTGCAGGCCTTGCCATAACTGAAGCACCAGAAACCTGACATTTGCTCATACAACAGGGTCATCCCATGCATGCCAGACCTCCTGAGGTATTGATGGGAGGGCCAGGAAAGCAGGGATGTACATGGGTGATACTAGAGTGACTACCAGGGCCCTTGTACCTTGTCCGCTGTGAACTTTCTGACATTGTTGTCTTAAAGTTTTTATTTTGACTTCATTTACAGTCCCAGTAGCTTTTACTTATAAACATATATTCTTTCTTAGGTAATAACTAGTCCCATAAACCAATTTCAGCAAATATCAGTATTTTTTATCCTATATACTTTTTT